CAGGCCACCTCAAACAATCACGATGAGTTCTTGCGATCGAGAGATGCCGGGACAATTCTTGATTGAGATCTGGTCAGAATCGTGAATGATAGACGACTCAACAGTCACCAGTGGCGCAGGTTGAGACCAGCCAAGAGTCTTTATTGATGGGTCGAGGTGAGATGCTCGATTCATATGCATACGGTACCTGTGTTTTGCATCTCAACCCTGTACTCAGCCATGCAATGCGATCGAATCAGGAACACTCTTCATGCATTCAAATAAGCGATTGATTGCCAACCAAGACCGGTCCGCTGTGCTTGGTGCCGTTGTGAGAGGCGCTCTCACCCCTAGCTCAAGTATACATACTTGCCGTTCTACACCATTTCGACCACACACAGACGGACTGCGCTACCGGTGAACCTTGTGCAGTCTGGCGCAACGAGCTGGCCTGCCCAATGCTTGGTGTCACACAAGCCTATGGCTCTGGCGGCAACCCGAGCAGACAGAACGACCCTTGAGTACTGCACAGGTCTAATGAAGAATTGTCGAGTCTCCGCCCATGAGGAGGTGTGGCGCAACCCGAAAGGATGTTTTCGATTCGGTCGGTACCTATACCTGCGGTACCGTACACCGCATACCTATCAATTCGCGCGCAGACTTCGCATGTAGCAATCGCAATGAGCACCGCAATCACGTATGCCTAACCGCGACTACTCATGACTCTTGAATGACCCGCGTACGAAGTCGGCCCGCGAAGAAGCGGAGCGGATGAGCATCACATCACCTACACACCATCATCTTGTGCGTGGCGGCCATGATCAGCTAGCTGCATGCATGCTGCCGATGCTGCGCATGTTGATGTGGATGGAATCAAGAATACAAGATTCACATTAAAGGCAGCGCGCGCACGGGGCGCCTTATTTGGCTGTGCTGCCCTCTGCTAAATATGCACGAAATGCTCTTGCATTTCTTCTCCTTGCTCCCGCATCGTCAATTCTGTACGGTAATTTGAATGTGAATGTGAATCGTGCTGAATCGTGAATCACGCGGATGTGAATCAAAATGTGAGTCATGAGTCAATCGCCATGCAACTCAGACTCCTTCTTCTTCTGCTGCCGTGTTGCTGCTGCTGCAGCGTTGATGCATGCATGTGTAAATCGTGAATGCAGGCGCTTAGAGCAGCAGAGTTGGTCGGCGTGCAGAGCTAGCTAGGACTCTTGCATGCTTCCCTCGCGATCCTCCTCCTCGCGGGGCGGGTGAGCTCTTCCGGTGACAAAGAAGAAGATGAGCTAGGTGAACACGATCGAGTGTGAGTAGACTCTGACTGGTAGCGGCCGGTCGCGTGACGATTGCCTCGCCTCTGTCCTTGC